CTTCGCCGTCGGCTGGGGTGAAGCGGATGCCCGTTCCGAACGGGCGCGCTGCGGGTGCGCGGCCAAGGGCGTCGCGCAGGTGGCCCATGTGGGTGGTCCAGTCCGGCAGATTCTCGACCACTAGCCGCGGGTATCTAGGTTCCCGTTGGGCCGTGGGAGCTGTGCCGGAGGGTGGTTGCACGGGCGGCGTAGTGGTGCGTGATGCGGCGGTGGGTGACAATTTTTCGGCGGCGTGGCGGGTAGGCGCGAAAACTTTCGCGGCCTGGGCGAAGCTCACCGACGGTGTCGGTAAAGCAGTCGCGGCTCCGATTACTCGCCTTGGGGGGTAGTCGCGCTGCGCTGCTGGAGTTTGCTGCTGCGATGGTGAGGGTGGCGTCTGTTCGGGTAGGTTTCCGCTGCTCAGCGACCGGTGTAGGCGCGGGTCGCGCGGGTTTCCTGTGCGAGGGCGCTTGTCCTCGGTTTTCGGTGAGGAGGTGGCAAGGCGGCGCTTTCGAGGGAGTGGCGTTGATGGAGGCGGAAGCATGAGCGGCGAGCCGCTGAGTGCCTGCAACGCCTCCAGGGTCATCTCGTCGGCGGGGCAGAGGGCAGGTGTATCGCCCGCCTCGAACTCCAACAGTCGAACGTAGGAGCTCAGCCAACGGTTTAGCCTGTCCGACAGCATGCCGGACTCAACGAGTCGAGCTACCATCGTGGCGTCAAATGCATATTTGACGCCGGGCGATGCTATCTCTATCGATTTGGCCAAAACGCTGGCGAGCTCCTCGTCCGAGATCGGAGTGAGGCCTTGCTGCGAGGTTGACGGCGTCGGGGTTGGCTGGCTAGCCATGCTGCGTACCGGGGGCTACGCCTACGCAATCCTGGCCGAGCGGCGCCCGAAGGCGCGCTCAGGCCTGCGGCTGGGTGCGCGGCAGTCTCCGCTGGCACGGGATGGCGCCAGGCAGTCTCTCGAAGAGAAAAACTTACAAGTTTTTTTTCGGAGAACTTGGAGGGTAGATTCGGATTCGTGCGGAGTGGCGTAGTACGGTCCAACTGTCTCTGCGCGGCGCCAATCGTGCTTATATACGCCGATCGACGCATTCTAGAAAGTACCTGTTAAATTGAAAATTAGCTAGCAACCGCGAGTACAAATTACCTACCTAACTAAAGAACATGTGGGAAGGGTCTGGGAATATTAATATTTTTTACCATTGTAAACAAATATAGGTATAATTTTATCATCCCCATCTATTTGACAACCCAATACTTTTGCCATGGCAAAATTTGCAGGATTACCGTCGAAAGTAATGTTAACAACTTCTTACCCACATTGACAGATCAAAAAACAAGTTTTTACTAAAGAAGCCTTTTGCTCGGCGCTAACCTTATCAATAAAAAATAGCCTATCGGAAGTTTCCAGCTATAATTGATTGAAGTCAACATAAAGACTACGAATACCCAGGCAATCGATTGGGTATCATCATCTGAATACTGCCCAATATTAACAAAGCCAATATAATTATTATCATCCCCCTGTACAGAATTACGAATAGCCATCTCTTCAAAAACCAGACTACATTTGTATTTTTGGTTTGGGTACCTTTTTACCAAAAGCGAAAGAGCTTCAAATGACTCTTTGGTAAACCCAGGTTCACACTTGATGGATTGGTACTATCGTGCCAAAATGCGGGTGTGTGGAAGGCAGCTATGGAAATTATTTCTTACAAAGTTTGTAAGCGCGTGGGCCACGGAGCACCCCCACTAGAGTCCGCATACAAGGGCAAGCGCTTACGCCAAGCTTAAGTAGTATTTTACCTATGCGTGAGGCACGCCTACAGACGTCGCGATACATCGTTTCATTCGGTAACCGAGCGTTGATCGAACTGCTTCTCTCGTTTTCGTGTTAAAAAACTGTAAAAAATGCCGTACTGTGCAATTAAATTGTGTGGAAAGTCGAGTACAACTTCCAGTCTTCAAAAAAATGGTATTACTTTTCACTGGTTAGTTTAAATGCATTACAAAAAGACAAAAATACTGTTATATTAAATTGCTGTTAATTGTATTTATTTTTTGGTGAACGCGTTGATGTCTTTTTATACTATCCCTTTCTCGCATGGGCTACATCATATATGCTATCTCGCTCTCACACCGGCACGTGTATTGCTAGTGACTCAGACGCAGCTCATGCCTCAACGCGTAAGTTTATCGATAAGTTTGTCAGCTATGGAAATGGAAAAAATAAATAAAAACTATTTATTTCATCGTATACAATAATAGATGTCATAAGTATACAACCAACAGTTTTTATTTGACTTCAAACATATTAATAAAATTGAAAAAACGCATACGCAACGAAATTTGTATGCATATTTGTTACTCTTTCACGCTAAAACGGTTAAACGGATTTGTATGAAATTAAGTGCGCATAGTTTATGACCTAGATAAAGACATAGAATTAACGATATTAAATACCCTAGATACACCACGAGCTCTCAAAATGTGTCCCAATCAAGAAGTGCTTGAACTCCACTCAAGCACTTCTTAGTACACAGTCACACGCGGACCGTTGAAAAGTCAAGATGCCAAAGAGTTCCGTGAAAAAATACAGAAATATACTAATAGTACGTAAAGTGTCGTTTTTTCGACGGGTATCTAATTAATGTTTTTTAATTAACGCCTTTAAAGCAAATTTTATTGTTGTAATACTTACTATAAACTGATTTAATTTAAAATATTTGTGATATTCAAATGCATGGTCGGTTATACGTCGCCCTTAGCCATCTCTTTTCTTCGCGGTCTATACTTGCTATATTGCTAACAGCGCATTCAGAATTGCGAGTGAAAAGTCAAAAAAAATATGGTCGTAATCGTAAAATTTTACGAACTTGACGCATGCATTTTAATTAAGACCTTATGCCGTATGCATTAAAGGTGACTTTCAATGTTTAAATAAGGCATTATATTGTTTTTGACCACGCGATCATCTTACAGACCTCCGTGGATCGTCCAATGTACCTTTTGGACACGTTTCGGCCACGATTTTGTTCGTGTTGTTGTATCTAGGGTAGTTAATATCGTTGCATTATTACTTCTTGTCCTGGACGTGTTTTTTTTTTGTGTTGCTTATATATAATTTAGTATGTAGTTACTAGTCGCGTCATGTAATTAGAATGTTGGAAGAAAGTGGAGAGGGTATGATTACGCATTTGCGCACCAAAGTGCTAGGCCTCTATTCTAAATTGTTTATCGTTAGAAAATATCGATATTTTTTAAAATCGATCTTACCCCCATCACTTCGCTGCACTGAGTATATGATCTGACCTTGACGCGTCCAATCACAGCGGGGCTGACCTCCCTGCACCCCACCGACTTTAGCGATTTTGATTCCAAATAAAATTTGTGTGATGCGGACTCTAGTGGGGGTGCTCCATGGCGTGGGCTGATGAAATGTAGGTAAGTTAGGAGCAAAATTAGGTACTTCTGTCGAAAATTTACTTTTTTTGGGTTTGTAAAAATCATTGTTTTGAACATTTACTGATGTTAATTTAGTTAATTACCCGGCGTACAGTTTGTCTATAAAGTCGTGACATTAAATGATGGCGCCACTAGTATGCATGTAGTAACCCTATACAATCGGACCAAAATGATTTTGATACTAGCAGTTCATTCAAGTAAAATAGGTAATTAATAAGACACACTATACAATCGTATTTTGTTTCTGTTTTATATATAGTATAAAATGTATGTTTATAAAAAGTTTAGCTAAGCATATTTAATTGAATCAGAATAAAATTATTATAGATAAAATAGTACTTTACAGTGTAAAAGTGTGTAATGTTGGTGATTACCGCTGAGGTGCCATTGAGATCAGAGCCGTTAGGTAATCATCAATACACACAGGTATCATCATACGACGTTTCTTAACACACTTGTTAAGAAAATAATACTAAAAATCATTTTATAGTATATAAAAAGTTTATTTAGTGAAACAACTTGTAAATGTGCAGTTAGTAAAATTAGTGATAGGTATCTTCACTAAAAGCATCTGGCCATGGTTCTTTATGTGACCATTTCTTTCTTAGGTCGGCCTTGCCTGTTTTCCCAGGAGTTTCAAACTTTCCATCATTCTTAAAACCTTCGTTAACTATCCGACTCTCTGATTTTCCTGAAAAAAAAGTAAAAAATATGTAACGGAATAGAAACAATAACTTATTGAAATGAAGCAATTAATTCAAAATTGGTAGAAAACGTGACCGAGTTGAACCATAACAACGTATCAAAAGAAATGGTCGTACTACAATATTACCTATTCACAATGTCAATCTAACCTAAAAATGTAAACAATGACTTTTTTGGTCTCAAAATCGTAAATTGAGTAAATTTGTAACTTCAGGCAGATTACAAAGAAATAGTTACACGATTAAATACCCGTCATATAGATGCTGTTCGCCCATAAACTTCATCCAAATCCCACAAAATTCGTCCAGCTTGGTAGTCTTCTAACATCGCTGGAAAACTTTAAAAATCACTTCCCGCGTGCCACTTTGATTTACTTTACTTATTTTTATACCTTTCTGCGTAGTTTCGTCTTAATTTATTACAGTTTAATCCAAACAATAAAAAATACAAAAGGAAAACTGTTCCACAACTGAAACTCGATGACAGCTGATGTACATAAGTTTGGTGTTGCCAGACACATAAATAATGTTAGTTCCTCAAACATTCATGTCACGACTTTATAGACAAACTGTACCTCTTAGGCGACACGGAACAAGAAGCCTTGGCAGTATTCTTATTAAAATAAACTTGTTGATATGCTTCGTGTTCCTACGTACGAACTGGGGTTACTCCCGCCTGCCTTTCTCTGGATCTTTAATACGTTGTCTCAATTCCATCCCTTATAATTATAATAATAAGGCTGTATGATCTTACTTCTTTGTGCCTTTCTAAGTCAGATTATTATTAAAAACATTATTCATATTTCTCTCTCACTAAGGGATATTGGCGAAATTTCTGTGTGAAACGGAAACAGCCACAGAACAAAAAAAAAAAAATATTCATATTGACATTGACAGATCGTGTTTGTGATTTGATGATGTATGTTTCCATTTTTTTTTGTTTTATTTGTTTGGAACTAATTACTACACTACACACAATTATTAAAAAAAAAAATTTAACTCAGAGTTTGTAGCCGCCACTTGAGTTTCAGCATGATTCATATCCAATAAAGTTTTCCAGAATGTCTAGTTTGAATGCCGATGTTATTGACGAAATTGTACAAAAATGCATCGATACTTATATGAAATTAACGAAGAACGGGAAACCTGTAGATAAAGAATGGACCGTGTTATCTTGTATACTACAATATGATAGAGTTACTTCGTCTTTCGAAGTTGTTTCTTTAGGTACGGGCTCCAAATGTATTGGTGCTAGCAAAATGTCTCCAGCAGGCGATTTGTTAAATGATAGTCACGCTGAAGTGATAGCAAAGAGAGGTTTTCTCGTTTACCTTTACGACAATATAGGGAAAGTTTTAGATAAGAAAAAATCTATATTTTTAATTGAAAATGGTAAGTTTAAGTTAATGGACAATATTGAATTTATATTTTATTCATCTCAAATGCCTTGTGGTGATGCAGCAATAATGCCCAAATCTGTAGATGAAGAGCATGTTGGTGAGGTGATAAGTTCAAAGAAGCGTCAAGCAAATGAAGATATTTTTGAATTAGATCTAAAAAAACAGAAATTGGATACTCAAGATATCCATAGAACTGGAGCTAAATGTTTGTCTCACAATCAACAAGATCCAAAAGCTGAAGGTACAAATTATCATCTACTCGGGCAGGTGCGAACTAAGCCTGGACGAGGGGACAGAACTTTGTCAGTGTCTTGTAGTGACAAAATGGCAAGATGGATATATATGGGAATACAAGGTTCACTTTTAGATATGCTGCTTGTGAACCCAATCTATTTGTCATCAATAATATTTGGCGGTGGTGTACCATATTCTGAAAAGTCATTGATAAGAGCCTGCTTAGAAAGAAATTCTTTAGATTCATTAGTAAATATAGATACAGTGCCTAACTTTCATCAATCTTCTGTTGTCTTCCCAAATGTTAAAAATGGATGCTGTGTAAGACCTGCTCCAGGAAGTATTGTATGGATTAGTTTAGATCACATGTAAGTGTTGGATAGTGAGTGATATTCTCTGCATCTAATTTTCTTTGACTGCACAAATTAAAAAGTACTTTGTTTTGTTGTTGTTATTGTAAATGTTTTATTATAACTTTATCAGCATATAAAAATAATGGATCACTATGGGACATTGGCAAAATTTCTGTGTAAAACGGAAACAGCCACAGAATAAAAAAAAAACAGATCTTCAATTACAACTTGTCAAGAAAAACAGCTAGGAATGACTCCTAATAGTAAATTTTGTGCAATTTGATGTAGTTATTGTAAAACTACTTAAATTTTTTTAACTTTTTAATTTTGTGTTTTCAACACAATAGCTTATCTTTTTAAACTAACTTCCACTGCTTAAAGCTTGTAACAATATATTTGTTTCTTAGGTTTTTACGCACACCATTCATTAAATAAAACAAGTTTCAACGGTATAGATGCACTGATTTATTTATTTATGACGATTTGCATCCTTTTCAGGCTGCGTCAGATATTTGATTGGGATATTTTTAAAACTTTATTGTCTATGTATGAATTTATTAGCTAATTTAATTAATAAACTTAGTACTTTATTTATATCTTTTTATAATTTTGAGTTTATTTATTTGACCCAAACTTCTGTAAACTACCACCAGTTCCAAAATTGGGAGACTTTTCTGAGAAGAACTGGCAAACAAACTCTTTTTGTTTTGTTTCTTAGGTACAACGTAAAAGTGATGTGTGTGAAAAACATCACTTTTACGTGATCAACATAGGAAATCATCATTTAGATGAAATTGGAATTATGATTTTAATTGCAAAATACCTTTTTAGCTTTGGTAAGCTATTAGTGAAGTCCATGGGAAAAACTTGACAATGACCAAGTTGTGTCATTTTGTTTCAGTATAACTGAAGTAGCTGTACAAGGAAGAAAGCTTGGAGTAACAAAGAAGAAAGCAATATTACCTGAAAATTCTTTGTGTGTAAGTAAATACAATTTGTATAAAAGATTTTTACAGATTTCGATGAAAATACAATCCCAAGGAATTGATTTAAAATTGAATATAATTAAAGAAACACCCTACAATGAAGCAAAACTCAAATCAAAAAGATACATAGAGAAATGGAAAAAAGTAAAAGATTATTTTTTCAAAACTTGGACAGTTAAACCTGACATTTGGGATTTCATTGTTAATTAAATGGGTAGTTTGTATTTTGAGTTTTAATGTTTTGGGGATTTAATAAATAATTTATTTTGTTCTAAACATTCATTTTATTCCACCTAAATTCTTGTAGACTGTAGTGGTTTTGTCACATTTTTTTTTACATTATAGATGTAAAATATTACTAACAACCATGACTTAGGAATTAATATTTGTGCTCATCACATAAATAAATGCCTCTGCTGGTATTCGAACCCAGGACTAGCCCCTCTGCTGAGGCACAAGCAACCTGCTTTCCATACAAATGGAATAGCACGCAGGCCTAAAGCGAATTGGTGGGTCATAATGACTGCAGATGCAGCTGCTCACTTAACATGCCTTCCAAAGTATGAAAAAGATTGAGACAATTTTTTCTTTACTCATCCTATAACTAGTCATTGCAAAAGTTATCTGCCACGATTGCAGCCCAAACGCTTTGCTGTGACATATACCTACATAACGAATATTATATCTACTTAGTTAAACAGACATTATATTTAGTCGTCGAATAAATACAAATTCCATGAAGTCCAAAAAAAAGTTCCATATAGGGTTCTGTACCCTGTTATTATACCTGCGCTGTCTCTTAGTCTGTTAGCCGTTTTTCATTGAATTTTATACAATCGAATTTTATATATTCTTCCTTAATGCTTGTCCAAGTATATGATCTCTTGGGTGTAATGGGCGCAGAATAGATCTTTGTGTAGTGCTTGATATTGAAGTTGTCCGGGATTGGAAAGACTTTTCTGCGCATAACTCTGCGTAGATTTTGTAACGAGGTACAATATTTTGTGGCTAAACTGTACTTTATGGACTCATAACTTGACTTCGGTAACGTTAGGTTCTTTTTTATGATATGTTACATGAGTATTATGCTAATCTTAGACATGGGTCCCACCACCGTTCGCGAGGTGAAGTCAGGAGAGCGGGGGTAGGATGTGGACAGTGAGACAAAGAGGAGTAAAGTAGACAGTGAGATAAAGGAAGGAAGTGGGAGAAACAAGTGAAGAAAAAGAAAATGGGGGATAGGAACACGAAAAGAGGGGGTTAGGTTAGTGATGTCTTGTGACCATAACGCGCGAGTGACTAGCGAAGCGCCAGAAAAAAAACGACCAAGTGCGAGTCGGACTCGCGCACCGAGGGTTCCGTACAAACTCAATTTAAAACCTCTACGCGTTCATGAGAAAAGAGGTAACTTTAAAATTTTCAAAAATATTTTTTATTATATGATGTAACTAAAATCTATGGTTTTCGCAATTTTTCCTTTATCTGTACTATAAGACATTACTTCGTACCAAATGTCAAGATTCTAAGTTCACGGGAAGTACCCTGCAGGTTTTGATTTTCGAGCGAGTTTCGAAAATTTTCGGCATAAACGGCTGTATCTTTTGATTGCTTTTGGCTGAGATTAGAAGTTTTATTTTTTCACAGCTCCAAGGGACAGTAGACATGAGTATTAGATATGAATTTCAGTTTGATAACTTCACGCGTTTCTGAAAAAAAAAACGGTCTTGACAGACGGACGGACGGACTTCTTAGGTACGGAGCCCTAAAAACTTCGTTAGTCAGAGACCTTTTCAACAAAAAAATGTGAAGTGTCACCCCTTGGCCCCAGAAAGTACAGTTTTACCCTCGCGGTACCTATTTTGGTCATGTTTATTACGTTCTTCAAAATTTGTGTTGTGTGAGCCTATGGGCAGATCCCGGAAGGACCAATAGAAAGTGATCCGACGTAAGAGGATGTATCTTAGGGAATGAGCATTAAAGGTTAAGTAAAACAAATGGGTATACGTCAAAACGCCCACATTAATGTGGGACGGATTATCAGTTATTTATCATCCTGTCAAAGAAGCCATCTCTTAGTCCATACCTATAGTAAACGTACTTACACCATAAGAGCCTTTCACTGAGTTTTAATTTAGCATCGACGAGATGAGAACAAAAAGGGAACTTTTTTATAATGTCTGCTTTTTGGCAATTTAATAATGAAAAGAAACCGCGGAATTGCGAATCTCACGCGCAATGGGTTTAGTACCATCCGTAGAATGCTAAACAAACCATGTCAACTCTACGTTCATTAAAAAAAACATAAATCATAATCATATTTCCTGATATAATTGTCAGTGATGTGGAATAAAAATACTCTAGACAGGAACTTAAAACTCAACAAACACCTTTAATTAATTTTTTACGTTTCCACGCACACCACTCATTAAAAAAAAAACTTTTTCATCGAGTTTCAGACATTCATTAGACCGGTAAGCTGCATTGTAAGCTTAAAAACCGCTCTGTCTCTTTAATACTTGTAGAAAGTCGGATTTAATTTACTTGCAGTCTTATCGGGTCCACACATCCATCCAGTATGATCCTGTCGTCACTACCGCAGTGCGATCCGACACCACTCGTCACTGCTTTGTCATTACATGGACCAGAATCAAATCGATTCGGCCAGCCCGTTTCATGTTCAAGTTCACCTACTTTCTACCGGAAGGCAATTAAAATTAATTTACATTTCTCTTTGTGCATATGTCAATATTTTCGGCAACTCACTATATTAACGTCAAGGCGGCCGTTTTATATCCCCCGAAATCCGAACAGCTAATTTAGATATTTCAATACTTTCCCAATTAACCAGTGCCATAAATGTTGGATCTATTTACGGTAAATGCCTTTAATGGAAGTTATGAATTGATACAAAATAAATGCACTCTATCACCTTTAATGAGCTTAAAAGATTACACGCCCGCTAACAATTACGAGCTACCGTTAATACTTGGTGCGCTGCTGTAGGCAGTTCATGCTGCAATGAGATGACAGAAAAAATCATCACCACTATTAACATTATAGTTTCAGTTACGGAAAAAAGCATTAACCGCTAGATTTTTTTAGATGCAAAGGAAATTTTACTATAAAATCAATAGGTATCTTCAACTGTATAATTATAATGTAGCAGTTACTTCTTGTGTTTAGTTAAATTTCCTTAGATAGAAAAAAGGAAGCAAGAAATACGTAATGTTTTAGGTACTTTCGTACTTAGGTTAGGCTGGCAGAGATCAGCAGCATATGATCTCATTTTGTTTTTTAAGTAGGTACATAGAAATTCATAAAATTTAATGTTTCATTACAGTCTTTATATTTTAGTTTTGTATAATTCATTAATTTACCACAATCAACAAAAATAAAGACTAACTGTGAGCGTATATCTTACTGGCGATAAGGGGAACCGCTGTAAATGTGTCTATTTATATCACAACTCCTTAAATATTGCGGATTTATAAAGGTATCTAACCTACATATGGAGATTGCGACAGTAATTTGTAAATAACTATATCACAAAATACAAGTCGTTTGAGGTAAGGTAGTTTCATAAGTTTCCGCGGGTTGGTCGCCATGACAGCACAATGGCGACTTTAGCACATAAATCATAACAGGTGAGCGTCTGCGCAGATCGTCCGCGGGCTCTTGCAAGTGCTTGATTTTATTTGTTTCTGAGTTTAGAATATCGCAGCGGCTATATTTTATAGTATAGGAGGGCCTTTAACGCTCCTGCGTGTAAGTACCTACCTAGCTAGGAACCGCTGTTTGCAGCTATCGACGTTCAACAATATATTCTTGGTATTGTTTCGCGATGCAATATGAAGAATACCTTTGTGTTGGTAACCTTCTAAACAGTTAGGTCGTAAATTGGATGCTCCTCGAGGTCCCGCTATCGGGAGGCGGAGGGTGGCACCACTCACGACTCATTGTTTATCCACAACAAATTGCACGGTAAAATTCCTTGGAAAATCTCATTTTGTGAATATTTATTTAGATTTGTTATCGATCTGATCTGAATAGACAGATGCAGTTCTGCGATAAGCTAGTCGTCAACTAACTATAAAAACGTATATGTAAAATATACACACGTTAAAATTCCTTGGAAAATCTCATTTTGTGAATATTTATTTAGATTTGTTATCGATCTGATCTGAGTAGACAGATGCAGTTCTGCGATAAGCTTGTCGTCAACTAACTAGAAAAACGTACATGTAAAATATACAAAATATTGTAATAACATTCACAGCATCCGTAAGATTGCAAACATGTCAAGTTTCCAAAGATGTAAATAGTTTGTCGAGAGTGTGGCAGGCCGAATTTGACGAATTAACTTGGTTTAATAATGTATGTGAGTATCTATAACTGAATAGTTAGTTATGCAGTTTTGTCTACTTATGACTTATAGTGTACTCCTCAGCCTCACATCATTAACATTTTGGCTAGAAATGCTGCTTTTAATAGATAATAATTTTGAGTAAAGAGGTATAACGTGTTCTTATAGAAATATTGGATTATATTCGCATGGTTACGTTAGTATACTGCTAGTGAATTCTAAAAAACCTAACCTACATAAGAATTATAAAAACTGCATTGTTGTTTCGTAAATCAGTGTCTGTAATAAAATCAGTGCTTCGAGTGTTCTGCGAGAGCTGCAAGGGACTGCAGCCATCATTTCAACGGGTCATTAAACGGAGAAATTGGTCAGTCTGGTAAACATGGTCATCAGTTTCGTTCCGTGATCACTGTGACGCTTGACGGTTTCGGGTCAAAGGTATTTATTTACCTAACAGATACGAGAGAGATAATATTATTTCGCAAAATAAAGTGCCACCCGCAAATAAAATTATTCCAGTGTAAAGTGACCACTGCCGCTGGTATTTCATTCGTTTGCGTTTTTTGAAGATGTCGGGATTTATTAAGCTGTAAATAAGGTCTCGTTAAAGCATTTTAAAAAACTTCAGAAAGTGTTACGTTAACAGTTAATCGTATTTCAATACGTTATCGTTTGCTGTTGACTGTGATGCAGAGAAAATCCAGCACGGTTCGTTTATTTTATTGTTATTTAAAAATATGTTGACGTTATTGTACTCGAATGATATAGAATTTGGGTTTCCCTGTGATGAGATATTACCTAGTGCCATTACCATTAGTTTTGTTTTTACCGCAATGCAATTTCAACACAATTGTTTACGATCTTCTTTTTATTTTATGCCAGTTGGTCCTCTGAGTTCCTACCTAATTAATG